TCTATTAGAATTTTTCTAAATATGAAATTCCAAAAGTTCTTAATACAATGCATCGATAGTCTCGTTGAATTTGGAACTAAAGATATTTGTATCTTTTGCACAAATAGTTTTCTTTTAAATAAGCTAAGTGAAGCATTAAATGTACATATACATAAACAGGTATAATATTCACATTCAAGCAGATCATTTTATGAAAAAAAAAGAACTATTATTTACGAGTTTCAACAAGTATATACTCATTGTTAATTGTATTTATGTTCAAATTTATCAAAATAGGGAATTTTCAAGTGTAGAGCCTATGAAATAAACTAGCTTTCTTTGTAGACCTAGTGAAATGGATGTGGATACAGGCAAGTCTGAAAAAGAAGATCCACATTTGTGTATTAACATAACGAGATTCATAACGATAGATGCATACTCACAACAGTAGAGAAAGCAACAATAGATCAACAAAATTTTAAGATCATTTTCATTTAATCTTTATCTTTTCATGTTCAGATAATTTCTACGCTCTTCTTGATGACAGTAGCAAATTGGATGCTAATGTAATGAATTTAATAGTGTTCAATGTTGATAATCGTGCTATCAATGCTGGTATCGTTGATAAGATCTTAATAAATTTTTGCACACCTCCCACTGATTCGAATGCAAGAATTAAAGTATACATTATTAAACCAGTATTGAATAGTAGTGAGCACTTTTTTGTACAAGAACAAATCGAATCCTTCGTTACTAATCTCAGACCATCTGTTGGAATTCAGAAATTTGAAATTAAACCATTCAAAGTACACGATGGTGATTACGTTGGATTCAAGTTTACAGAAAATGCTGGTGGTCCATTCAGTGTTGAATCTGCTAGCTATTATGTTGAACAGAATATTGATCAAAATATAGAAAAAGAACAAGTAATGCATTCCACTCCATGTGCTAACCATGGCATCCCAGTAACATTTACTTTGAATTCTAAACAAAACAGAAACAAATGTTTTGTTGGCTCAAATGTGGAGATGAATAAAATGAACAACGAAAAAAAAGAAATAACAACAACCTCCATCCATCACTACATTTCAACACCACCCGACGATATAAAACCATTGATTACAAATAAAAGACGAAGATCATCTATCGCTGTTTCATTTAGACAAGATCTCACCAGTAAGACAACGATTCCAATAACTCTTAAACATTTCTATTGTTATTCATTTTGTTAGAGTTGACACCATTTAAACAGCGTGATAACATGTTACGTGAAAGCACTATTGCCCAAGACTATTGGCAATCTCTCATAGAGAATATTATGAGAGAAGAACGAGACGATTCAAATCGTGAGAAAAAAGCTCGATTCACGCATGAACATGATTCAGTCAAATTGCAGAAACAACAAGAAAAACTCATCGAGTTGGCTGAAAAGACTATTAATGAAAATCAAAATATATCACGAATGAATAGTTTTAACTCATTTTATGATAATAATCCTATATCATGAACGTATCATTCGATTCTTCAAGTCAATCTCTCTTCTTTATTAAGATCTTATTATGAAACATTATTCTTTGAAGCCATCACAGCTTTTTTTCATTCGTTTTTTTTTACGTAGTTTGTTATTTTTTTTAACAATGATTTCTCTAATAGAGTATTCTTTGAAACATATTTTGATATTAATATCAAAACTCTTTTATGAAAGTCGGGTGTGGATGTGGTGTGAATGTAAATATTTTTTCTTCAACTTCCACATTCAAACTTACATTCATCATTCTATAGACAAGATCTAACACACAAAAACGAAAACTACTCATATAAACAGAGTTTCAATGAAAGAAAGAGAAGCAACGAAAATAGGACATAGAAGACTTACTACACTAGAAAGTTATCATCTTGGTATTAAACTTTTATTCTATGAGGAAGTTTATGTATTTGAGCCGCAATTATAGTTTTGTATTGGTATATTCACTTGGTGAAATACGATACAATGACGAATAAAGAAATAGGCGACGAAGATATTGAAATTCAGTTCAATGTTCTCGGATAGATTATATGATAATCATAACCATAATAATAGTAATAAATATGTGGCTTATTCCATAGAAATTTAATCAGAAAAAAAAGAAATCATATTCAGAAAATTTTCTTTTCTATCAAGGGTGTGGGTGGGTGTGAATGTAGGTGTAGATGTGAGTATTGTTCAAGAGATGTACTAAATCCACACCCACACCCTCAAGATCATATGTAATTGTGACTAAATTTCGATTATCCAACTTTCACTATAGTCCATTTTATTCCAAGTTATTTCGTTCAAAGCTTGCTGACTTTTTTATCGATGAACGAAAACAACAAACTAAAGAAGCGGTGATGATGACGATCACCGTTTCACAACAAATCACCATTTCATGAAATATCACCTCTTTTATTGCTTTGTTTACCCATCCCAAGTGGACTACGTCTCTTGCTCTCTGAAGCATAAGAGTGTGAGTGTGGTTGTTCTCTTTTTCCACATCGGCACAGCCACATTCACACCTTTTTGAACATTTTCCGACTCTCTTTTGTTTATCTTCCTGTGTTTTTATATAACTGAGCAGAACATATTCGAAAACTACAAAAAAAAGGTGTTTTGTGTTGAATACATTCGTATGCATTAAATTTTCTACGATCCATAATCCACTTAGGACAAGAAAGCTTACGAAAAAAATAAAAAAAGAACAAAATTTCGAGCGTCAATGCTAAATGTCTGTTTCTGTAAGACTCAGCGACGAGATGAAAATGTTTAGTGATGCCGGCCAACTTTACTCATATAATCTTCCATAGCATCTACGACCAACTGATGATCCTCAGCCTGCGGTAATCCGCTCACAGCAATTACACCAACTACGCCCAGACCATCGATAATAAGTGGAAAAGCTCCACCGTGAGCAGCATACTCTCTTTCAGAAACAAGGTATTTTTGTTCCATGGTTGTTTGTTGTGAGGCAAGGTACCTGCCCATGTAATAGGATGAATGATGAAACCTGTAGACAGTAGCTTCCTTACGTGCGATCCAATGCCAGTTATCAGGCGATGTACCATCCATTGCGAACCTAAACGAGAACGATATATTTAGACTTTGTTCTTTGTTCGGTTTTTTGTGAGGCTGCAGCTTACGTACTTGAACACTGTACGACCGCACATAGATATGCTAATCACGGCAGGTTTCTTATCTGTTCGTTGTTTGAGTCGGTTGAGAATATCTAAACCTAGGGCGAGTGCATCATTTGAAGTAAAAGATGAAAAATGAATGGTTTCTTCTTGTTTGAGAATGATCGGTAGGAGTGCTTTTGCTTCTTCTTCTGTTGCTGCTACGGACATGTTGGTCAGAATGGAAGGTTTATCACGGTGATAGAATGGATTGATAGAACAGTGTAATGATTAGCCCGAACGTACACTACAATTAGATATAATAAGAGACGATTTAAAAGAAAATGTGAATTAGAGAAGACATTGTCAGTTTGCGCGAAGAGAAACGAGCCAAACTCACAACAAAAATTTCGTACCCAATACTCGAGAGATAGCAAAGAAAATTAACCAGAGCTCGGCCTTTATCACTTGCTTGTTTTCATCATGTTTTTTTATCGTCATGTAGGCGCATCACACACCTTGCAACCAATTACAAAAATATATAAAAATAACACTTCTATGCACTTACTGCCATCGTGTAATTCCTATTTTAGTACATTTGTTGAGCGAACCAAAGTGGACTGGGGTAGGGATGTAATGGTTTCAGAACTATTTTAGGACAAACACATGCAAATAACAGGAAAATCTCTTTGTCTTAGAAAGAAGTTAGTTCTGCAGTTTTTCTCTCCCATTCTTCTTTGATGAAGGTTCTTGCATCTTAAAAACGGTGAGGTGTAGATGTAGGTGTAGCTGGGTATGAGTGTGAAAGGGTATAGGTACTGTTGTAGATGAGAGGTGGATCTACGCCCGCACTCACATCTACACCGACATATGCTCTCATTTCGTCATCACCCTCTGGCTAAGAGATGCCCTATGGGAAGTTCAATTCAATTTCCTGGAAATTAATTTTCGATTTCCCACTGATGAACTTTTAGGAAATTCCTATAATACATCATATGGGTTTTGTCTTGATTTTCATTTTTTAACAAGTATTTGCGTTATTTTAGTCCTGAGTCCAAACATTTTCAATTAAAATAAAAATCAAGATTCATAGTAAGGCTTCAAACAATTTCGAAAAACGAATTTTAGAAGCTACTAAAATTATATACATAAATTTTCAGTAAATCGTAGTCGTACTACTTTAGAGATCTTTATTCAAACACAGAACTTAATATAGTTTTAGTAGAATTACAATTATGTAGAGTATCAACAAAATGCATTCGTTTAAACTTTTCTAAATAATATTTAAATATTTTTTTTATTCTTAAAAAACTAGTATGTACGTTATTAAAATGGAAAGTTGACTATAAATATAAATTCTTTATTATGGTATTATCAATTATTAGATAAGTATTTAATATTTAGTCTATCTAAAACAACTTCGGCACGACATATATAAATAAACCGAAATTGATTTTGAAGATTTCAGAAATTTTTCTATGAGAGAAACTAGAAAAAAATTCTGTGTGGTCTCACTAAATTTTCGAAAATGTCTTCAGACGTTAATGAATTTCAAAAGTTTCTCTCAATAGCCATCACCGCACAAGAGTAGATTCTGCACGAATGATAGCAGAATTGACCGTCATTTTTTCTATTATGTTATAGAAAAGAAAATAAAATATTTCCGCCACTACTTTTGGATTGTCATAAGTATCATTTATTTAACTTTGATTTAGTCCATTGCTGAAAAGCAAGAGTTGGGACTAGCAGACTGAACTTGTCTTGTTTTTAGAAGATAGGCACGTCTCCTTTCGGTTATTTGATACAAAACACTAGTCACTTTTATTTTCTATGATACAGAATAATCTATCTTGTTCATGTTTATAAATAATTTTGATAAACTGATCGCATGTTCATTCATTTGAGGAGGCGTAACGACGAGATCTGAGAAAACGAAGGCAACAGCGAAAAGGATTGCATGACGCATCTTCACGATCTGTTCCATACTCATCATCTGATAAATTTGGAATACTATGTGTTTGAACTTTGAAAGCAAAATCATTTGAAGAATCTTGATTATCGCCAACATTACCATAGTCAAAGTTGGATGGATAGTATTTTGCAAGTTTGTCAGGAGTCAAACACTCTTCTTTAATTTTGTTTTGACTGTCTAGTACTGAAGCCGACTTTTCAAATGACAACACAATAGACGAGCTACTGATAGGTGTGTTTTGCTTTGAATTTATTTGTTGGAGATCTGTGTTGCTGATGGTAGAACGGACAGACGGTGGTATAAAATTATTTGATGCACTAAGAAGTGAAGGTTTGGCATTCAATATTTCTTTGGTATTTGGAGATGCAGAAGCATCTGTATTATGAGTTTTCTGTTCAGAGTTAGCAGTACATGTTGTTGCATTACTCAGTGAAGGTGGCGATAGTGTTGACTGATGAATATCACCTGATGGTAATATTTTATCAATATTGGCTGATATTAGTTTTGTAGCAGTGTTACTGGTTTTGTCTTTAGTTTTCAGAGCATTTGTCACAATTCTTTGCACATCGGCCGTAACGATTGTATCTATTAAACCATAGTCTGGAATTTCATTTCTTTCAATACTAATTTGTTTGACTATCTCTTTGAATTTTGTCATAAAATCTCCTTTTGTAATATCAATATAATATCTGCTGCCAAGAAAAATACCTAACCAACCGTTTGGTTTATAGTTCGGTTCTAGTTTCAAAAAAAGTGCTCGATGTTGATGACTAAAAGCATATTCACATTCGGCTTGACATGCTTGACTCGACCTGTACGCACTTGACATACAAACCAACATTAAATGTGAATCTTCAATCGCTTCAGCCATGCGTTCCATCATTGATCCGTGCATTTCTTCCTTATCAATCCATATTTTATATTTTCCTAGTTTCAATAGACAGTTATAAATAATGTTGCACAGATCAGAATTCTTATGACAATAACTAATCATTAAATCGTATTTATTCCGTTTACTGGTTTTCATCTGAAGATCTAATGTTTGACTTCTTTGTGCAGCGATCATTTCCTTTTGTTCTTTAGTTAGGTTGTCCCGTAAAACGACTATTTGACCTCCATCGTGATTAATTTTAACCCATACACTATCATCTTCATAAGTTGGGTTTGGGGGTTTTTCATTTGGATGGACCAATATACGTTGAATAGGTAACTGCTGAGCTCGAAAATTTTCTTCATTAATTAACCGCCACAGAATACCATCAGCTGCTTTTTGTTGATCAAAGCTGCGACCTGATTTAAATATTTCATGTAATTGTGTGACAAGTTTTTCGTCTGTCCTCAGTACGAAACGTGCTTTTCCATTAAAACTGACTGTCCATATGGCGTCTAATGCTGGCTGTTGAATTTTATCATCAGTAGCTGCTGGAGTAAGGATACAGTCAGATAATAATCTCAATGCACCAGATTCTACAATTTGTTCTTTCACTTGATCATTCTGTGCAATTGCTAAAAGAAATAAACGTATCTCTGAAGCAAGTTTAGATATTATATTTTTTTTACGCACTTGCTACATTGGTAAGCAACCTGATAGCATGAACTCCTGCATGCGCTTGTGAGTCATTCTTAACAGCTTTAGCCAAATATGTAACGAGTAAGCTTGTAACTTCATCTGGCTGATCCAATTCATCAACATCTTCAGTTGATAATGCAACTAGAGATCGTGCTGGGAATTGAATATTCGTTGGTATGTTAATTTTTTGTCGCGTACTATTAGTTGTAATTTGTTGCTGTTCGTTATCACACAGTGATAATAAAATCGGCTTTGGTGCAATTTCTTTTATAACAGCATGTATAGTTGAATTAGACGCTAAATTATAAAGCAAGGTAAGAATAGTTGCTACGAGTTCTTCGTCTTTAATATAATTTATTGTTGTTTCGTCACCCAAAGAGAGATATTCTTTCATTGTTGTACAAAGCTCTGTTATAATAAACGGCAAATATTGTGTGAACATGTTACGTGTAGATTCGCTCATCGCACAGTCATTAAGTAGTTTCAAATAACTATTGAGGTATTCATTTTTTTGGGAATCTCCATGTTTCCGATTTCTGCGATAGGATAGTACGTTTTTGTAATTCTTTAACAAAGGTTGACATAATAAATTGGCAATCTCTTCGTGATGATCATTGAAATTTGAGAGAACAAAACAAGGACAGTCGAATAGTAAGAAATCGGCTGAAACTTCGTCGTTTTTACTGAATTGATCAATGTAAACTTTAGATATTATACACTGCACGACTGAACTCAATAACAATGACCGAAGTAATCCTTTATGTGCTTTACTATGAAAATACACATGTTCAAATACATAGCTTAAAATGCGACATTTAGTTTGATTATTCCGATAATTGTTTGACAATAAACTTTCAATACATTCCTTGATAGCCGCAAGAAATTTCTTATTAAAAAAAGTTTTTTGAACAATTTTATTTAGTTTTTCGTCTTCAAATTGATGCAGAGATAAAGATGATGTCAATACTGAGGCCATAGCATGAAAGACATTCCAGTTAAGATCTGTTAATTCATTGTCTTTTGCTGTACATTTATTGATATTTTGAATAATAAATAACATTGTATTTCCCATTAATGAAAATAATTCATGATCAATTATTTGAGGACGTAATATATTTTTGTAGACTTGACTGTCAATCATGTGTTTACAAAAAAAATGCATTGCCTTTAAACTATTATCTGATGTTAGCGCACCGTTGACAACATCATGCTTTTGGAAATCATTATAAACATTGGTTAAAATAGATTTTAAGTCTTCATCTCTTATCTGTTGTCGATCGAGTTGAAGTTGAGTAACATGTTTATGTATTACTGTAATCATTCTCGAATGATTAGAAGAATAGAAAACAGAATAATGACTAAGTAAAAAATTAATATTGGAAAAAAATATCTAGTGATGTAAAAAGCAAGATTTTAAGTTCGTAAAAAAGAATCATAATCAAACAAATAAGGTTTTCAAACTTTATCGTGACCAGTGACGATAACAATTAATTATGTAAGGATATTTTCTACGTATTACTTACAAAGTATTTATGTAAGGGATTAGAACCAACGAAACTAGTAGGTTATAGATGATGAGCATTATTTCACGCAACGAACTCTCGCGCAATACTTTGAAAAAATTTAAAAGTATATTTTGAAAATCGAAAGACTTTGCTCTGGGTACATTGAAGCAATCAAATATGGTTATCATAGTTTTCGAAATGAAATTGAGTTACACCAAAATTATCAAATGCTTGTAGAATGGATTCTAGCACAATATCAGAGTTGAGAAATATTCTTTAATACTCATTTTCCAGTAGAAAATCTATTTTTGTTCCACAATAACTGATTTGACTGAAACTTTCAAGAAATATTTATTCAAATATAAATAGTTCATAACAAAAATTTCATCAGAAAATACTGAGTAGTACAAGAGTTATCATAACATTAATGATTAAAAAGTAGGCATGCGGTTGTACCAGACTTTTCCTTTAAATCTAATGATACAAAATTCAAGTAGATGTCAAATTGTATTCAATCATTGTCGCTGCAACTAAAACAGAGTGTGATTTTTAAAAATTTTGTTCTTTCACTTTTGCAAATTATTTTTGTTCAAGAACAAAACGAAAAATGCGCCCTATTCCGATGACAGCAAAATGTTTTTTCTTAAAAAGTAAACCGACAACCAAAAATTCCACGCAGGTTAAGTTCTAGAGTGATTTAGAAAAGATCATTTGGAGTAGGTATATGGCACACACCTACTGAAGCACGCAAGTTATGTTTTACAAGTCACAAATCTACATACAAGGTCAAAAGTAAGGGGGAAATAGTTGATTATTGATTAGGATTCATTAGAGTGAGTAGTGTGAGTAGAGAGATGATTAGCTATTCTCTATGATTTAAGATATCTGTAGCTCTTTACCTGCCTAGTACGCATATAGGATGAGTGTGGATGTGGAGCTATCTCTCTACTTAAGTCATACCTACACCCACAGTCGCACCTCTAGTTAGCAGTGGTAGCCCTACAATGTACTGTGATTATAAGAGAAAAAAACCAAGAACGAACAAACTAATTTGGTGATTTCATTGATTTCGAAAGTTTTGAAGTGATTTCAAATTGATTTCTCCTATTGAAATCAATTTGTTCTCCCTTAAGTGTTGGTATTGATAGTATGCCAAGAAAAATCAAACTCGAAAATTTTGAGAAACCAATTATAGATTCAGATTTTTAAACCGTAAAAACCTTCGATCAAACTTTACAGAGAAATCATTATTTTCGAAAAATAGCTTGTTCGAGACGAACAACTAGAAATCTAAAGTTAGTTTCTGCGAGTTTTCGAGTTTGATTTTTTCGTCCAGAACAGGCCGTTTTTCAAAAATAACGATTTTCCTACAAAGCTTAATTAAAGGTTTTCGAATCGAGGAATCTGAATCTATGATTGACTTCTCGAAATTTTCGAGACTGATTTTTCTTGGCATACTGTCAATACTAATACCCCATATGCCTCAAGGTCTATCCTATGGGTGTATCCATAAGTTCTCAAGACCTATTCCATGGAGATACCCATAAGTCGTCATACTCTCTCGAGATTTGGCATTGTTAACTTTTCAACGTTATCTTGGCATAGTTTTGGCTTCTCTACCAGGGCTATCCCAGGGAGGGGTGTCAGGTATCGTTAAGTATTCAGGATATATCTAGACTTAGTCGTCATAGGTCTTCAAGAGCTTTTAGGCGTGCGCCATAAAACCATGCTAAGAACGTCATTTGTATGTCATGCAGAAACTAGTGTTGAATGTGGAACGAAATATAAGGTTCGGAGGTAACGTATGAGACATGTATTTGAGTTTTCCTTTCACAAGTAGGAGGTGGCTAGTTTTCTTAGACTGAAGTAATTGAATCCCGTAGTCGAGTAGTTTTACTTCACAATTAGTGTGATATCGAGGGTATTGCATTTGACAAATTTCGGTGAAATTTCAGTTTGCCGTTCGTCAAAGATCCATTCAGCATTAGCTGTATGACAGTTCCAACTCAATAGCTCGCGAAAACTGAGTCGAAGAGTTGCTAGACAACTTTAGCTCACCTAAACGAGAACTAGATGATCAGTTCCACCTCGGCAAACTCAATTGGAATTGTCAAACATCTGCTTATCACTGCTCCCATATAATAACCCTTTAGAACTTACAGATAACTCAATAGCATACACCTTAAGACCCCATCAGTATCCCCATAGGACAGCCCTTGAGGATCTATGGTGATTCTCTTCAGCTCCATAAAGCTGAACTGATGGACAGCGCCATTAATTGTAATTGCTGCTAATCTCTCAAAATCTCTTGAAATCTGCTGTTTTCCCCTTGAACTATTGGCATACAAACTAAAATAGATGGATGCATAGTAATGAAAAAACTACGTAATTTCTGTCATAACTGCCTACCTGCAGAAGAAAGAACGACTTTGTAAATAAAAGTTGCTTTTGCACATTGACTGTCTCGCATTGTATTTCTTTTCATCTATACAACGTAATTCCTGTGTCTACCACGAATGGCAAGACTGAGGTAAAATGCAAAAAAAAACAATGAGAAAATAGAACAGCACAGGAAAAAAACAGAGAACTCTCTGCTCACCGCTGCCTGGCAGAAAAATAAAAAAATTTCAATCGATGACTCTTTTATGGTATGAGTCGTTCTTGTTCTTATTTATTTAAAAAATTCAATTAGTTCCTTGCACTCGTTAGAGATCATAAACACTAGAGTAAATAGTAAGTTACAAGCAATTGAAACTTCAAGTAAGTTTTTTTTCGTGTTCTTTTTTAGGCCATTTGATAGATCGAGAGCTGCTGATCACGAAAATTTACTTTTTAGCATCAACAAATGCTTCTTTTCGGTCTAAAAATACGAAAAACTCGAAGAAGTCGTTTTTGAGAAAAAGCATTTTTTTCAAAACGTACAGGTTGTAGGTGTGAATATCGATGTGTATGAGTTTTGGGTAGGTATGTGTGGGTGGCTATCTTGAGGGAAAGGGTGTGCATGATGATGTCTTCTCCGACACTCACACCCATACCCTTCATAGAATAGTAAGAACAGAAAAGGAAACATTCGCATAAAAATTGTGGATTTTGCAATTTTAATTATTAAATAAAATACTGATAACACGAACCAACAATTATAACGTATTTGATATCCCTTCACTATTATCTTCGACTTCGAAAATTGTTTGAGCAAATCTTTTTTGTTCATCTTATAAAATTCATTACAAAATGAATTTTTATTGTAACAAGTGTTTTTATATAGATTTAATTTTACTAAGTGTATATTACGAATTCCTTGTATTTCATTTTAGACATTATTCGTAAAACAAACCTAAAATTTATTTAATGACAGATATGCATCAACAATTGCTTGACTTGGAATTTTAATAGATTGTCACAGTAATAGATTTTATATAAAATCTTTAAATTCTAAGTATTCGTTAAAAGGTGTGAAAATACGAAAGATTTTTCAAATGTAAGTCATCTTTTAACTAGAATTTTTCTGTTATGTATCATTATATTCAGTTATCTTTTCAGATGTTAATTATATATACCTGCATCATCCATCATGACATATTCGCTAAAAATTAAACGAACATCATTTTCAAGTCTAATTTTGATGTATGTACATTAGTATTTTAGCTCGTTATATAAAAACAAAATTTAATCAACTGAATTAAAAGTTTGTTGTATGTTTTCATTTAGGCGAAATATTTTGAAATCATCATGGGAGTCTATTCTAACTTATATAAAAGATAGTTCTGCCTTCTTGTAATACTTTCTCGGTAATTGATATTCAAGCCTAATTCACGCCTTACCGCAGATAATCACTCCGAATATAAGTGTAGGAGCAAGATAGCGCTCTCAAATTCTCTAAGATCCCTAA